ATCCTCACCAACGGGAAAAAAAACCTTCCACACTGCCGACATTTTGATTTTTCCTCTCTGCCGTGAGATCAAGTGGGCGCGTGTAACGTCGTCGTGCTGCTGCTGCAGGCATCCTTGTCACCGAGTTGTCATACAGAAACAGCGTCTTTTATATTGGCGAGTTATTTTGATGGAATGTCCGATATTGAACTTTAACTTTAATATCGGCCGATATGATACCATGTCGATAATATCGTGCATCCCTAACGTAGCATGAAATCACACAGTTCTTAGCAGCCTGTCTGCCACTGTGAAGATTCTCAAAACAGTCAAAATATACAAAATACAGAAAGAGGAGAAACACAAGCCTTGGTTTGTGACAGAACGGCATTTGAACCGACTAGGATTTTCTGCTCAAGGTGGTCACACAGCATTTTTGCTATCTGGGCTTAATTTTTAAGAAATTAAATATTTTAGGAAGAATGTTTTTTATTAAAGGAAGAATAAAAGATAGAGGGGGAAAAAAAGACAGAAAAGAGGCAAGAAGTAAACAAAAGAGCAGCTAATTGACAGGAATTCAGTCAGCGTAGCATCATCAAACAGGAAGATCAGAGAGGCTTGACATTTACAAAACTCAATTTAAGCTGCCCAGAAACTTCCCTGAGCTTCTGCACAGAGAAAATCCACAACGGAGGCAAATGTTACACTATTCATCCCTAAAAACATACTTTAATTCTAAAAAGCATTTTTGCCAATCTGGAGTTTAAAACCTGAATGGATAAAAAGGCGGGGTTTGAATCTCCTCACAGATGTCAGAAAAAGATCTTTGCAGTTGGAGTTTTCTCAAACACAAGCATCAGTAAAGTTCAACACTAAAAGCATTTGTTGGCTATTAGGCAGAAATGTAAACAATTTAAAACAGGCCTGTAAAACCTGGTTAACTGTCGTTACCTCTATCAGGAAAGCAAGAATAACACCAAGTGTTAAGATCATTTGTTTTTTATGTGAATGCAACAAATTTATCTTTGGCTAAATTAAAACGTAATCAACAAATTACCTGTATTGTCTGGCAGGCGTGGCTGCCATTGTTAGTGAGAATGGCAGAGACAGCTTGCAGGATTTTGCCCGTGTCTCCCCACGCCACAACAAGACTAAAGAGGCAGGCGCAGGACAGTGCAGTGATTTCCTGTCCCGTTGGGTCATTAGGTCCTGTGCTTCGGACCGTGGTCTCCAACAACAGTTGGAAGAGAGACTCTGAAAAAGCAAACAAGTGGTGCAAGATTAGATTGTTATGAAAATATATATCTACATTAATATTTAATTGCAGGGGTAATTACATTGTAGAGAACATCAACTTTCAATTTGAGACATGTTTATATTTACCTAGTACATCGGGAGGCTCAGTCTGGAACCCCTCTGGTTGTTGTCCCTGCAGCATGTCCAATAAAGCCTGCAGGCTGCGCAGACACAGTAAGGGGTGAGAGAACCGAGTCTCTTTTATCAGCTCGAAAACCCCGCACAGGCCAATGCCGATGATCTGCAGACAAAAATTTAAAAAGACAATACATATTAGCTAAAAAAAACTAAACAGAGAAAGATTCATTATAATGTTTATCAACAAAAATATTATACTGTTACAGTAGGCCCTCGCCACTTCGCGGTTCAACTTTCGCGGACTCGCTCTTTCGAGTTTTTTCAACGTAAGACTGTACATGACACACTGTCAACTTTAATATTACTCACGTGATGTGACGGTACGAGATAAAAAGTTAACCAAAATAATTTCAAAACAGGCACCATCATTTTGTAGTTTTCTTTCAATAAGCCTAGACTGTAACACACGTCAAAAGAACTACACTACCCAGAAGTCAACAGTGCTTTCAGCCGCTGCTTTCTGGTGAAATGGGAGGGAAAGTTTTGTAAAGCAAAGTCAGAAGTAACAATCTATTGAGCTCAAAGAATTGGCAGGAAAGTCACAAATAATCCTGAAGCTCAATAATCCACGCGCACATCAACCTGGATGGAGCGATGAGCTTCGTTGTTGCTGCAGGATAGGTCTGCTGAACCGGAACCAAGCCCGACCAGAACCAAGCTGCTGGTCTGCAGAGCTGGTGAGTAAAATTCTGCAGTACATATATGCATGATGTTAAAATTACGCATGTTTAAGAGTTTAGATCGTTGCAAGAGTGTGGGAAGGGTTTATAAGGCCTTAAGATATATATAAATACTAAAATAAATACAGCGTTCCTACTTCACAGTTTTTCACCTATCGCGATGGTGTCTGGAACGTAACCCCCATGATAATCGAGGGACTGCTGTACTGTGAAAAATTATTTTATGTAAATATTTGTAAGTGACAAACTTCTTGAGAAACCCTTAGTCAGTAGCAGGTGCATCACTCTGCTTGCAACAACATTCTTTGTTAAAGGCCTAATATGAATTTTTACTAAATCTGACTTCAATATCCACCAAGAACAAATCACAGAAAGACAAAGTCGACGCTCTTAGTAGAAGTGAGGTAAGCAAGGCAGCCTGGCTTAAAAATGGTTCCCGTCTCTGTCGACTTTTGTTGGGTTTACTACTGAATCATATGATGCTCTAAAATGATTTTCTAATTCAGTTAAAAAAAACTTTTGTAACAAAGAAATCTGAGAATCTTTAAAAAATTAAAATCAAAACTCAAAAACAAATATAATAAATCCATATTTAAAAAGAAAAAAAAAATCAGTGTTCAGTGCATTTATGTTTGCTGGATTAATAGTCAGCCCTTTTATTAAATGTGTCAGTGCCATCACTTTGAAACACACACACAGCAAAACTCTGACAAACGGTTCGTCAGCAACAATTAAGATGGAGTTAAACCTAAATCCTTAAAAACATTGAATCATCAGAAGCTCACTGCATTTGATTTAAAGAGGATAAAAGCCTGAAGCCTTCCCACAAGCTGGACACCTTCAAATGAAATCTACCCTTCTGTGATGCATTTACTTGGTAAGTAGTGTTAAAGAAAGCATCAAGCACAGCTAAGCCATTTTCACCAGCAGCTAATTATTGCAGGAACTGTTGAGGGTAAACTTTAAGCAAATGCAAAAAAAACCAGAAATGTCAGACTCATCTTTGTTTGAATTATTTAGCGTCATAGTAACTAAAAAGGGTAAAAAAAATTACTTGATGGGGGTTAAAAACCGCAACCAGCCTGATCAAGTCAATAAAATTCAAGCAAATTCAGCAGCTCTACCAAGTGAGCCCTAAGATAAAACATGCATGCAAAAACGAGAAAAAAATTTCACAAAGAACAAAAAACTCAAAGACCTCTAACGACTTCTGGTGCAGCAGGTTTTGCATTACTGTACTTATTTTTGTTAGAACTGTTAAATCAGATAGTAAAAATTATTGGACCAAGGAGTCATTCTGATGACTTTTTTTTTTTTGGCACCTTAAACACATTTACTGAAAATGTCTTCACGCGCACTCTCCTCCTGATGGTGTTGTACAACATCTGTGCATCCTTGGCCCAACACTTCGGTCTTATCAAGCACCATAAACTTTCTGTTTTTGGCAGTAAATAATGCCACAAATGGCAGTACATGGTCTCTTCTTAAAATGTAATGCTTTAACAAGTTAGCTACACTGTTTGTGCCTCTTTGATGCAACTTTTATGTTGTGCTTGCATAATAAATGCATAATAAATGCATAATAATAAATGCAAGCAGTAGCAGTTTTCAAGGAAGACTTTGTGACAGGTGCAAATCCTCAGTTAAGTTCCTATTTGTCTCTGAACTGCTTAGTCCAATTTAACTCTGTTTGAACAACAAGGAAGACAGAGAAGTCCAAGTCTCCCTGTCTCAGTAATGTCTTGTGATTTTGTCGAGATGCTATACAGAAAGCCAGTCCAAGTCTTCTGGGGACTCATGTACAAAGAATGCGTCATATTATGCACAAAAATGTGACTTACTTCTTTTTTACACAAAATTTTAGAAGTAATCAACGATGAAAAGATTGCAGAAATGTGAATGACTAACATACAGTAAGCATGTTTCTGCAGTTACTTAGAGGGTATGTTGAGAAACTGGTAATAATACGAAAACAATTACTGTGCACACCAAAGACACATCATGAACAAGTAGCCTATTCCATCCAGAAGAATGCACTTACTTGAATGGATATTGACATGTGCACAAAGTGGAGTAAAAAATGCCTTTAACAACAATGACTTTAGCCTTATTAGAGCATACTGCAAATGGTGATGGGTGTATTTAAAGACAGAGGATTTTCTGGCCCAAGATAACAACTGGCTAATCAGTTACTTTAGATTTTTAATGGCAATGCTGAGCTCGGCACTGCAGCCAGTCTTAGAGCACGACACGGCTCCTCACCGTTGGCTGACCATACCTATACAGCTGCCTGCTACATTGGGGTTCCTATAGCAACAGGGACATTTCAGAGGGAGCTGGCAGGCCAATCAGGCCTGTGCCAGTCAACAGAGCCGAGCCATGCCAGCTGTGAGGAATGGAATTAGCCATATGCCGGTCAGGTATATCAAATTGTTATACAATGCAGCTAAACAGGCAAACATTAAAGCACGATTTGCAGCAAGAGGCAGTTTCCTTAATGTAATTGGAAATATCGACTGCAAAACACATTGCTATAAACGCACCTTACCAAGATAAAGATGTTTATGTTAACGGAAAGCATTTTCATTCAGTCGATGTACAAATTACATGTGATGCACAAATGCAACTAACCAACATGGCAAGGTGGCCTGGTTCAATGAACAATTCATTCATTTTAATGAACAGCATGAATGGAAACTGACAATAAGCTGGCACAATGCCAGATTGGTGACTTATAATTAATTAATACATTTATTATTATTATTATTTATTATTATTCCCCTGATGTGCACCAAACTTCTGCAACCCTTTCATCCTGACTTCATGGCATCATTACCAGTCAACAGTTGGTGAGTGACGTGCTGATATTTGTTGGTTAAACTGGTTTCAGAGCATTTTGCCAGGCCTCTAGGCGTCTCTTCGTTTGCAGTACTTTTCAAAACACATGCATAAATGACAAAATTTCAGTCTCACGTTTCCCTGGTATACCTTTGCATTCATTTACAATAATAGTGTGTAAAAGCTATCTACTGCATGTAAATATTGGCAATGTTAAAAGATTGAGTCTAATTGTGCACAGAAAATATACCTACTTGTCAAATTTTTATAGCAAGTGACAGGTTTAGACATGATTGTTGATTGTGCAGAGAGGAGAATCACACGTGGAGGGCATATTTACATCCATTTGCTTATTAAAATGGAGGCGTGTCAAGGGAGGTGTTTGGTATTCCTTGGTGTGCTCAGTTGCACGTGACTTACAGAAGAAATAAGATAAAATAAGATGTACTTGGAATCAAGCGTACACACCATTTCATACATCTGTACATACACAGTTTCGCAATTCAGGTGTACACCTTGTTTCAGTAGGAAAGCCACAGAAGTCTTTATACATAAGACCCCAGCTGTTGACTTTCTGACATTTATATGTGACTCTTCTGATTACATGGCTTCCTTTTACCTGCAAATACAGTTTAGATTTTTGAATAGTGGCATAACAGACAAGCCAAGCGAGCTTACATTCACAAATTATAATTTATTTGTGATGCCACAAAAGCTCAATAAGACGTTAAGTGCAATTTGCAGATGGGGATTTAACAGATTGTGACTAGCTTTCACGTACAGCTGCTGCAGGAACTGTTTACCAAAGCAGAGCTAACAGGTTTGTTCTTCTGGACATAGTTTATTAAAGGAATACCCACAAATGTTTAACATCTGAAGCAAAAGTAGGCAATAATTCAGGTTATTAAAGACAATTTAAATATTGAATTAGAAATGATGTTTTTGTGTTCCCAGGTGCATAATAGATTTTGAATAAAAAGTTAGAGCTGAGACAATGAAGAATAAACAATATGGCAGCGGCACAAAACAGCAAACAAAGTTAAAATTAGACCTACTTCTTACAGGGTTGAAGTTTTAAAATTGATAAATTATTCAAATAAATACAATAAAAATGAAAAGCCCTAAAGGAATTTGGGTTTTCCTAAGAAACCAAGCAGTGCATACGCTGCCTTCACAGCAAATAAAGCTCTCTGGTCATACCTTTGGAAGCTTCACAGCTGGCTCACGGTACTCCTCCTCCTCCTCGCTGTCCGAGTCACCACTTTGCACCGAGGTCCTGGAGGCCAACGCGAGGGAGGCCTCTTTCTGCTGCCAGTCCAGCACACAGTGCCGCACATTGCAGTAAACATTAAACGCAGATGGGTTGCTGTGTAGTTTGATATCTGGTACAAAGAGAGCTCCATCTAGACTCTCAGCCTGTGAAAAACCAGAGGAAGAGGTCAGAGAGAAGTTTACCACAAGGATGCTCATTTTCTAATCTCATAACACGATCTAAAACCATTAAACCACATTTTTAAATTACATCTGTCACAATGTGACACAAGACGGGAAGCTGCTGGTCAGTTTGATAAGTGTCTTCCAACCACGCATGACTCGGGTAGTTATTAAAAATTTTACCCAATTATTCTCCAACTCAAGACGGTTTCCTCCTCGCCACAAACAAAAACCATGTTCAAGAAACAGTGCATCGACTTATTCTGAGAAACGTGTCCAATTGTGAATCTAATGAAGTTTTAATAAATGGTCTCATACGTTTGGCTTAAAATGGTATATTCAGATTTAAAAAGCTGAGTTAAACAAATTTAAACAGTTTTTAACATTCTCCTGTGTGACAAACTTTTGCACAAACTAGGCAAGACTACTGATTTCATGATGAGCTGAACACGCTTTTTTCTGTTTTTAAGACGAATGACTAAATACTTGAGCTTCTCTTTGTAAAAGATTGTTTTCGGTGATTATAACCTGCTTTTTTATAAGGAAACAGATCACCAGAACTCTTTTAGTACAGGGTGAGTTGTTATATTTTTACATCTTGTATTTTTTTCCTTGAATTAAAATCTGTTTTCTATCAGTTTGTTTCGTAGTTTTCCTTCTCACGTGCATTTCACAGCAGGACAGAATCCACTGGAGACAGAGCCATACAACTAAAACTACTCTGAAGAGATATACAGTAAGCAAAAAGTCATCTGTAGAAGTTTTAATGCCATCTCAAGAATGAACCAAGGCTCTCCGCTACTTCTTAAGTGAAGTGCCGAATGTGTTTGTTTTGAAACCATTATAATATAGATTTCACTGCAATAAGAAGCATCAGACAGTGGCTCTGAAAACAATACAAACTTCAAAATGCTTGCTTGCCATTATTGTTTCAAGAAGTTTACGATCTTTAAAAAGCTTGGGAATGTGATGTCACGCCACCGGTTAGCGGAAAGCAGATGAGTATGAGTCACCATACTGTGTAGCCACGATTCTTTGTTTCAGTAATGTCAGCACTGTCTGCACACGTTTGATTTTATTAAGGATTTTTTTTAGGGCCAACATGAGATGTTTATCTCTGTACAACCCCTTTTCTTTAAACAGAAAGACTGTTATTTACATCATGTAAAAAGTACAAAGAAATGTCTATTTAAATTACGTTTCACAGACATAGCTTTTAAAATGGATAATATTCAGATACTATATATAAACCAATATATTTTTCTTTAAAAAGAGATCTTTACTGATTACACCATCTATAATAACCAGTCAGCTCTGCTTCTGCTCGTTCTTCCACAGGAATATCCCGGCCCCAGAGAGACAGTATTATCGTATTACTGTCCAACCACGTTCTGTTCCTCTGGTATAGTTTGAGGACACGGTGATGCCTAATAAAGAGCTTGATTGTCAAACTTTAGGACATGTTTTCCAATCACTTTATGCACTTTTAATAGTGAGCTAGCTAAACTCTGAATGAAGTCTGGAAAGAATGTTGTTTTAAATTTGAGCTTTAAGGTTTCTTTATTTGTCATTGAGTGCTTCCCCTAGTTAACTTGCCATGGCGGGGTGCTCATCTCACCCATGATTTTTGCTGATGGGGGGACGGACACTAGTCTGAGCGCAACTTGTACCAACAGTTTTTGAGTGGGGGCAGGGGGCGTTTAGCATGAGGGTAGAGGCAACGAGTGCTTCCTTTAGCTTTTTAGCTAGAGAACCTGTATTTCTTGCTGCTAGCTTAGTGCTATGTCAGTGCTGGGTGGGCGGGTGGGGGGGCAAGTTTGGTTTGGTAGGCGGGGTGCTCAATTCGGTTGACGGGGTGGGGCACCCCGCTTGTATAATGGTAGGGGAAACACTGCATATGCACCACATGTGGTGGAACGAAACATGGCCCCATTTACATCCAACAAAAGTATAAATTGTAAAGAAAAACTGTAGTAAGATCTAAGATATGAACAAGGAAATAAGCTAAAACTAAGAATACTCTAAGCACTAAGGGAGTAAGGCGCATGCAAGGACCACTTTACAGCCTCTCCAGAAAAAACATTTAGAGAACTGAAGGGTTGCACTGCATGAGTAAAAGGATTAAAGTTAAGTAAGCTTAAAGGTGGGATAAGTGCTTAAAAAGGTACATTTTATAGATAAAACATATATGTTTTCTTGTAATTATGTTTATAAATAAATATTATTCATCAGTTAAATTTTCCTTTCCATTCTGACATTAGACAACCATCCACCCTTAACGAAGGAACTGTTACAATAATTACGGTATATTTGTAAAGTTGGATCTATTGCCTCATTCAGAAAAAATGATAAATGCAAGCCAACTGGGAGAACTTACAATAAAACCATTATGAAAAAGCAAAAGCACTCAAATCTCAATAATCGTTACGATCAGACAAACCACAGCCCACTGAGGAACGTCAAGGAGAAGCTTTCTCAATCCCACAAAGTGGGATCTTTTAACAACAGTTCCATGACGATCTCTAGAGAATCACATTGATCGATTCAGCTGCTCTTGCAGCGTTGTGCTTTTGGCATCACAGCTACAGAGGCTGATGTCATCTTCTGTGGGACAAAGGTCATTTATTATCAACTAAAACCTGCAAGTGAACAGAAGCTTCACTTGCATCTTACAGCGCTATGTACAGCTCCCTTAGCACTTGTAAATAAAACATTGCAATAATAAAACAGCTTATGGCTGGAAAAAATATTTAAAATAATCAAATCAAATAAATGTATTGTGAATGTGTGCCTTTTCAAAGAAGTCATGTAAAGCTGATTTGAAATAAGATCCAAAAACTGCAAAAATGATTGTGAATTTTAAAGCTGGTTTAGTTTTGATATTTTCATTACCAGTGATAAATTAGTTTCAAATATGGTAAAGCTGAAGCAGCAGCTCTTACTATTTTAGCTCTTAAAGTGAATGGGAACATAACTTTTTCTATAGGACAACTGTTACTAATTTAAATGGTACAAATCATCAGGAATATGTTGCAGCAAGTGAAAGTGAGTTTTCTTCCCTCACATGCACTTGCTACAATGTCAATAAAAAGGGACGCATTTAGGATGTGATGTGTACAAGAAAATATAGATCCATGTTTGCAACAGTGGTGGGATGTAACTAAGTACAAATACTTTGTTAATGTACTTAAGTACATTTTTCATGTATCTGTACTTCCCTTAAGTAGAGTTAAATGTGGGTACTTTATACTTTTACTTCACTACATTTTACATCAAGTATCTGTACTTTCTACTACACTACATTTCTATAATGTGTTGCATTACAAGTTACATTCATGTTGCGGCTTTTTGATTTGTTTGTTAATTTGAAAGTAACTAATGGTGAGAGGGGAGCTGGTCCATTGAATCACTGCAAAGTGGGCAGGTAACGTTAGACCCGCCTTCAAGAAAAGCCGGGCCAATGACATATATTCTAGTATATTTGTCACTGAGCTGGGTGCACCTGCAGCACCACTAACACACCCAAAATGTATTCCACCACAGGAGAGTCAGCCAGAAGATATGCTCCACCCATGCCTTATTGAAAGACTGCTCAGTACAACAGGACAGATTCTCTCCCAAAAGAGCCAGACTGGACTCAAAAATCTTTGAAAACCAACTTCTTCTGAACTTGAACAAGAAATTCTTGCTGCAATATTAAAATGTGTCAGTTCATGATGTTAGGAGACAAGAGATGTCTCCAAATGTCTCGACACTCAGGTCCAAGTTTTAAAAATGGTGTCAGGAAGTTAAAATATTGTTCAATATTGACCCATTACAAGGTTGACTAGACAGTATTTTAACTAGAGTTGATGACAAACTGGAGTTGAAATATCAGTGGAAATGATCAGAGCCTGTTCCTTTGTTAGTTGTGTCTAATGCCCCTTTTGTTCAGGAAGACAACTTTTACTTAAACGTGTTTACTGCAGTTAAAATATCACATTGGTTTTGCTTTGTGTTAAATAAAAACTTTCAAAGGTATAATCATTCCTCTTTCTTATTTTGATTAATGGCATTTAACTCTGCATGTCATCCTTGAAATTCTGATGCACAGAATCACAAGTCCAAGTGTGAACTGTGTCACACAATAAAAACATGTACAGGTCCTTCTCAAAAAATTAGCATATTGTGATAAAGGTCATTATTTTCCATAATGTAATGATAAAAATGAAACTTTCATATATTTCAGATTCATTGCACACCAACTGAAATATTTCAGGTATTTAATTGTTTTAATACTGATGATTATGGCATACAGCTCATGAAAACCCAAAATGCCTGTTCCAAAAAATTAGCATATTTCATCCCACCAATGAAAGACAAGTGTTTTTAATACAAAAAACGCCAACCTTCAAATAATCATGTTCAGTTATGCACTCAATACTTGGTCGGGAATCCTTTTGCATGAATGACTGCTTCAATGCGGCGTGGCATGGAGGCAATCAGCCTGTGGCACTGCTGAGGTGTTATGGAGGCCCAGGATGCTTCGATAGCGGCCTTAAGCTCATCCAGAGTGTTGGGTCTTGCATCTCTCAACTTTCTCTTCACAATATCCCACAGGTTCTCTATGAGGTTCAGGTCAGGAGAGTTGGCAGGCCAATTGAGCACAGTAATACCATGGTCAGTAAACCATCTACCAGTGGTTTTGGCACTGAGAGCAGGTGCCAAGTCGTGCTGAAAAATGAAATCTTCATCTCCATAAAGCTTTTCAGCAGATGGAAGCATGAAGTGCTCCAAAATCTCCTGATAGCTAGCTGCATTGACCCTGCCCTTGATAAAACACAGTGGACCAACACCAGCAGCTGACATGGCACCCCAGACCATCACTGACTGTGGGTGCTTCACACTGGACTTCTGGCATTTTGGCATTTCCTTCTCCCCAGTCTTCCTCCAGACTCTGGCACCTTGATTTCCGAATGACATGCAAAATTTGCTTTCATACG